AACTCTTTCTTGTTTGATCTCCCCTGCACTTGGATTCGACACATCGTGATCCCAATTCTAACAATGCAGGAGCAGAATTGTTGAGCAAGACTGCTTGCTCTGAAGCTGGACTTCGTCACATCCAAGTCGGCGGCGTGTTCACCGGTGTGTACACTGGCGCTGGTTCTGTTGTTGGGCACATCGTCGGCAGCTTGGTTCTTTCTAGCGAGGCTCTCTCAATCCGTCATGCAATATATATCGCGCTATCGGTCTTGTTTGTTTCTCAGTTTCTCGTAGTACTTCTACCTGAGTCTAAACCCCACAACACCAATTTGCCTCCCCTTGTGATTCTGTCAGCTGCCATTCGTGGGGCACGAGGCGAAGTGTGGTTTGGATTTCGCGACCAGCTAGCAAGATGGCGGACCGGTGAGAAGTTGCTTGTTGATCTGACTATCTTTTTTTTGTTGTTTTCATGGGGTATGACTATTTACTTCTTCACTATTTTCAATGTATTTCAATACAAGTTTGATCCAAACGCCAAGCTACGTGCTGAATTTGGCCTTGTTTTGATTGCTCCTACAAGCATTGGGACCTACTTGTGGTGGAGACATTTTAGACATGGGAACAAGACTGAAATATATGTGATGCCGTACTATCAAGCTCTTCTTTCCCTGATCTGCCTTGGGGGCGCTTTTTCAAGCACTCTCTGGGGTTTTCTACTAATAAGCATTCTTTGCTGTCTTGTTCTTCCAGGTGCGACAATACCACTTGGCGCCATGTGGACGAGCCAAGCTCCAATAGACAAACAGGGTCGACTTTCTGCCATTTCTGTGATACTCTATGTTACTTTAGTTGGCATACCCTGTGTGTCATTTTCTTTTGTGATCGCCGTCAGTGTCCAAGTTTTTATCATAAAGAGTGCCTGCTACACATAGTTGCACGCATAGGTTTCTTTCATGTTGTTAACAGGTCGTTGGTGTGCGCTGAAACGCCACCATCGCGGCTCTTCTGGTGCCCGCAATGACCAGAGGACCGCTGTTCCCCTTGTTGTGGGTAGCCTGCTAATCCTATGCGCCGCGAACAAGATGAAAGACATTGCGCGACACGTGCAGAATCACAAATCTGATCCGCAGCTAACAGAAACGGAAAAAGCAGCTGCGGTGCTCTAAAGGGGCAGTTTAAGTGGGAGCGAGAGCGTACTTAAGAAGGAAGTCTCCCATAAGAATACACCAAAGGCAACGAAATCGCAATTTACTGTCTGATATGCTTGCTCAGCCACTCTTCCTGCTCCTGTTCGTGTCGCTGCACCGCGGCGTTGTAGGCCGCTTTTACCTCCTTCTGATGATCCTCGTCATGCTCACCGGAGGAGGACGACGAGGAGGAGGACGGCGCCGCGCCGTTGGCCGCGTCGCCGGCCGCGGGAACGAAGAACTCGTCGTCGTCGTCGCTGTCGCTGCTCTGGTCGTCGAGGGCGTCCTGGTGGCGGCGCCAGCGCTCCCACCCCTCGAACGCCCAGCGCACGTGCCAGCGGTGGCGCTTCCGGCGGAACGAGACCATGGATGATGCGGTGTAAGACGGACCCCACCGGCGCACGATGTCCCATCCGCGGAGGTTCAGTGTTCAGGTTTTCAAATGCTCACGCGCGCGGGTTTGTCGACCATATCGCCTTCAAGACGACGGTCCGGAAGTCCAAAACAAGGGCGCTTGGCCAAGGGGTAAACAAAGTTGTGACTAGCGCTCGACGGGTCACTGCGTCCGGTTCAAGAGGCATGCACAAAATACGATAACTAATGTCATGTTGATCTGCGATGGGTGCTCTGAGAATGGGGTTAGGTAGTGGTAGTGGTAGTGGGGGTAGTGCCCCTGGAGCCGCGGGAGACCACTCGATTCCACCGGAAATGTGCTTGTTTTGGCTCTATCGGCCAGTTTGGATCTCGAACTCGAGCAAACTGGTGATTTTGACGCTCGATCATAAATTTCGACCGAGTGGAGGTCGTGGCCGAGCAGCCCTCCAGCTGCCGATTGGCCAGGGCGGGTGGTTCACAGGCTTCGTTGACCCTATGTTGCAGCAGCTGTTTTGACCACTCATTTTGAGCAGGTCGCGACTCAGGGGTAGTTAGTTGGTACTACATGCTGTCTGAGGGTAGTCTACCGCCTACCTCTTGGTCCGGTTGTTGAGTACGAGGGTTGAGGTAGGCTGTAATTACACGATGAGGAATCCGCGCCAAGGGCAGCCGCTCCGATGACGGCGCGGAGCCTCGTCCTCCTCGCGACCTGGGCGCGCGCCGAGTGGTGCGCCGTCCAGATCGCCAACGTCTTCGGGGACGCGCCGCTCAGCGTCGAGTGGCGCCTCGACGCGGCGCCGGACGTCGTGGCGGCGGCGGCGGCGGCCGTCGTCGACGAGCTGCCCGCGTCTGCATGGCCGGCCGCCGTGGAGGCGGCCGTCCGGTCCACGATGGCGGCGCACCGCGCCAACGGCTGCGCCGGGTCGCCGGCGCCGCGGTGCGTCTTCGACGCCGTGGCCGATCGCTGCGGCGGCGTCGCGGAGAATCTCGCGGCCGCGGCGCCCTACGCGGCGACGAATCTCACGGAGACCCTCGCCCTGGCCTGCGCGAACTGCGACGTCGCGTGCGGCGGCGGCGTCGGCTGCGCCGACGCCGCCGTCGCCGCGGCGCCCCGGGGCGCCCACGCGGAGGCCCAGCTCGCGGTCGCCGTCGACCGCTTCGGCGCCGCCCTGCGCGGCTTCGACGCGGTCGTCTGCGCGCGCACGGACGTCCTGTGGG